TTTGCATGGTTGTGTTTGGGTTTGGTGTGTGGTGATCTGTGGTGCTGAGTTAGGGGCTGGGCTGGTCCTTTCTGTTCTAATCAGTTCTCCTCTCCCCCGCCCTGATTTCTTCTCTTTGGGTTGAGGCTCTGGGTTCTGTTTCCCTCTCCTCTGTTCTGGTCTGTTCTCTCGTGTTTCAGTCAGTCAGGTGAATTCTGGCACGGGCTGATCCATCATGTCCTGCTCTGTTGTGTTCTGTCCTGCTGGGATCTGGTGTGGGTTTGTCTTCCATCCTTCCATTCCTTCCATACTTGTACTATACTACAAGAAAATACAAGACAATACGGATTATTCATAGTATAAACACCTATATTATATAGATATAATACTAGAGTCTCTGTATTATTAATATAGTTGAATAATAATGTTGATATAGCATGTGTCATATATCTGTATAATTATTAGATATCATATATACACATATAATTTATATATAATATAAATTATAGTATATTATAGATATTATATATCTATAGATACAGATATTATATATAGATATTGTTTTTAAATATTTATATTTATGGGTTTTAATACATAAATAAGTAAATTAAATTTCCAGTCCAGTTTTCCTAATATTGATTTCTTTCTGTTTCCCTGTCCTGCCAGTGGCCCTCTTACACTTGCCCTCTCTAATGGGAGATACAGCAACATCACCTAAGTCTGGCCTATTTCCATGACTCTAAACCAGACTAAAGAAGAAGTTTCAGTGTAGATAACTCCCTCTATTCAGAAGGGGACTGGATTAGGGATTTTTGATTTTGTTCCATGCTATGGATAAGGACAGCTGTGTCCTGTTATCTTTTATTTGACATCATCTGTTTTCAGGCATTTTCCCTTCTCTCAGCAGTTAATGTTGCTCTTTACACACCCCTCCTCTGACAGCACAGCAATCCTCTCATACAGATTATTAATTGATACTAACATGCAGAGAAAACAAAATTTCACCTTGTTTTAATAAATTAATCCCCAAAATAGCTCCAACGAGCTGAAGTACATTAGAGGTGATTCCATAGCTGGCAAAGCAGAGATATTAATAAACAAATATCCATAAAAAGTGAGTTTAAGCAACTCTCCCTGCCTTGTAGCAACTCCTGTTAGTAATGGTGTATTCCTTGAAATACTAATACACCTCTGCTCCTTGTTTTATATGAGGAAGATTAGGAAAATATTTATTAGTGAGACAGCAAGAAACCTAGGAAGTTAAACCTGAAAATATCCCATTAGTTTTCACATGATTATTTATTTACTTGCACCAAGACTGAAGCTTAAATTTATTTTTAAAGGATATTGGCACATCCTTTGGATGCTGCTGGGTGAACACTCAGCATACCTAAAGCTATTTTAATGTCATAACTTTCAGTGGAGGAAAAGGAAAACATTCCTGTTCGATTTTTTCCCCCGTTTTCCACGTGTAACATTGAGTGAAGCAGTGGAGCAGGGGGGAGGAGGGGTTGAAGCAGGTGGAATTCCATCCCTCCTCGAGGATTGCGCTTTTTTTTTTTTTTTCATTTTGTGAACATGTTGAGGAATTCAACAGCTTGTCAGTCAAAACTGCAGCTTCTTGGAAACACGGGGGAGAGTGGGAAAGATGAGCTCTGTGGGGAGCTTCTATTCGGGTACGTGCGTGGTGTTTCTTGGACAGTCTCTGCCAGCCTTTGCCAAAGGGGAGGGAGAGGAGCACAAGTGCTTGGAAATCTGCTAATTTTTTTTCTTAAGGATTTACTGTCTGGGTTGATTTTTTGATGAGCATGTTGCGTTTTGTCCTTGCTACCTGTATCTAGAGATGGGGGGGGGGGAAACACCCCCAAACATGGATCTTTATATTTCTTTTAAGTGCAGTGTGTCCCTCAGGCACCAGATGAAATCCCCCATTCCAAAATGTGAGCTCCTGGACCTTTTATTGGTCCTTTCCATTGAAGGGATATTGGAATAAAGACAGATGCAGATGGCATCATTTATGAAGCATCTCTATTTTCCCAACGTTTGTGATTTCATTTCTATTCTGTAATATAGATGTGATTGATGATTTGGATGAGTTAACTGTATATAAGTTGTGTTAGATGTGATTTAAACCAATTATTTTATGGAATAGATAAAATCTTTTCATGCTTTATTGTGCACTCTTAAGAATCAGCAGCTTCAGACTAAATACATAAAAGCAAGGAAAAGCAATTATGTCTTTAGGAATAAGAGCTCTGATTTAATATTTAAGGGACTGCTTGACTTAAAACACTTAAAACACGAGTGATACAATCACAGAACGGATTGGGTTGGAAGGGACCTTAAAACTCATCTCATTCCACCCCCCTGCCATGGGCAGGGACACCTCCCACTATCCCAGGTTGCTCCAAACCCCGTCCAACCTGGCCTTGGACACTTCCAGGGATGGGGCAACCTGTGCCAGGGCCTCACTACGAGTGATTTGAGTTGCAAAAAACTAGGATCAATGCAAAATTTATGCAAAAAAAAAATAAAAAAAAAAAGAGGTAAGAAATAACATCTTTGTCCTGCTTTCCCATTGCTGTGCAGTGTCTGTGGTTTGAATGTTTCTGTGTGTTTATTTGAGCCCACAAACCAAAATGCTAACCCCCCAAAAATGCTAAATGGACAAACCTATGAGGTATTGCAAGTGGAATATGAGATCTTGCCAAGTGGAAAGCAGTGAGGAGAAGGAGGCAGTGCTGTTTTCAGGGAGTGTAAGTCTGAACCAGGCCTTTTGTACAGCAGAGAAAGTAATTACCCCACATCTATTTCTGTGCATTACAGGAACTTCGAAGGGCAGAAGCAAAAGCTCTTTTGTGTCTGCCACCGGCGCTGCTCTGGGGGTCAAGGGAGCAGCTCACACCTCATTTCATCACCCTGCAAGTTGTCATCTGCTGTTATTAATGCCCCACAAAAAGCCTGAAATCTGTAAGCTCCAAAGTTGCTTCCAGAGAGCCTGGGAATCACAATCCCTGGGGTTATTTTGCCTCTGGAATGTGGTTGCTGGCTCAGAGGTCGGTGGTTGCTCACAGCTGCCAGCCAGGCCGGGGTCTGGGAAAGGGGCAGGAGCTGTTGGGTGGGGAATTCCAAAGGCTTCCATAATCTCTGGTCAACAATAAAATGATTTTTTCCTGTTCAACAAGTGGAATACACCGTGTGGATGCTTTGGGTGGGAGAAGGGCTGCTGCAGCAGCTCCAAGTCCTTCCTATGTTGGGGGCCCCAAATCTGGATATTCCATACATTTGAGTCACATTTTTGAGCCGTCTGGGTCAGGATCTTGCCTTGGAAAGATGGCAGAGGAAAAACCCATAGCTGTCCACCGAGGAAGTCCTGGTTATCTCCAGTCACAGTTTCAGAGAGAACCAATTGGAAGTCAGCCATGCAGAGAGCCAGAACCAACATTCTTCTCTGGATACAGCTGTCTTTGACCAATAAAATAAAAATAAAATAAAAATAAAATAAAATATAAAATAAAATATAAATTAAAATAAAATATAAAATATAAATTAAAATAAATAAAATAATAAAATAAAAAATAAATTTAAAATAAAAGCAGTAGAATAATAAAATAAAATAATAACACATCCTTGGGTTCAGCTGGGGAAAACTTTAATGAAAACTAAAAACCAGTTTCACGTGAAAAAAAATGTCATAAAATTCACAGCTCTCATTAAACAATGTTTTGAACCTGCATCTTCTGCTCTCCTTACTAGTTCATATATTTTATTTTATTTTCCTGACGCTGGGATGTTTTCCACCAAATATATTTTTTTTTCCATGGGACGATGGTTCTCATGGTCAATGTAGTTCCAAGGGTGAAAGCCCAAGACAAGTAGAGCATGTCAGAAATCCACACCAGAGAGTGGAAAGGCTGAGAGTTTGGAGTGGCTGGATGGAGGTTCCATGAGGAGAAGAAGCCACCTCTCCTTGAATTAAAAAGCATAAAAAATTCGATATAAATCATAACAGCATTCTGAGGGAGAAGGCATCAGAGAACAAACCAGAGTGGGAGGCCCAGGATCCAGCTGGTGAAACCATGGCAAAATAGTACAAGTCACTTGGCCTAAGTGGTTGATGCCAGGTGACCTCAGTGTGGTCCTCAAAGAGGGAGTTTGACCTCAAGTGACCCCAATGACCTGTAGTAACCCCAAAAAACTAATTGTTTGACCTCAAGTAACCCCAAAGTTCTGT